GTAATGAATTCTGAATACTTGGAGCTTGTTTGGTTATCTGCAAAATAAACGCAGGAGAATTATTTCCCTTGTTTGGTTAGGTATATCCAGAGTAAAGTAAAATTATTTTTTTTAATAATTTATTTTGACATTAAAATAAGTATATTTATAAAAGCAGTGTATTTATCATAATTAGTATTATTTGATGTTATAAAATAAAATTTGTGCATTCATTTATTGTACGATATTATTATAGTTTTTTATAAGATATAAAATTTTGTTATGTATTAATTTAGCAATGTGCTACAATATATAGAAATATACTTGTGATAAAGAGAAATTTTAATTTTAAATTCTTTTAAAATTTTAAATTTTTATTTTTCAAGTAATTTTTTTACAAAAAAAGTACAGAAAACTAAATTTTCCTTCTAGAACTCCACCAGTCTAATTCTTCAATGTAATTAACAGCATAACTCGCCTACTTCTCTAACTCTTTCTTTATATAGTTTAATATTGACGGAATTTCCTCCTTCGTCACAAAAGAAATGAAACGAGCGATTGTCATCATCATTATTCTACATTCTACATTCAATAAATTAAACAACATAAAAATGGGATTCTCATATCGGCTGGTAGAAGTTGACCTGAAGATGATCAAGGGGAACGTAGTTAACAAGGCCGCTGCATATAGTGCGAGGCTCAGCCTCGCCCACATCCACCTCCTCAACGTAGAGAGAATCAGCTTCAGGATGCCTCCACGCCCTAATGATTCGACCCACGCGGATGTCAAGCACGTCAGCCGCTTCCTTCACGGGGTCATCATGCGCAAGGTTCGGAGCTTCATCGGTGGATTCTGCCACCACAGTTGTGGAAGATGCTTCTCCCGTAACCACGGCCGGCGACAATGAGTGGCAATAACGACCGGAAGTAGATATGGAAATGCGGCGATGGAGGCTAGTCTTGGTACCAGTGACGAGAGATATGATATTGGAACGGCAAGAGGGGAGAAGTCGTCGGATAGCAGATAAGATCGAGGCAGAGAGGAGGACGGCGCCACCCTTCGTCGTCGCCGCTGCAGCCATTGTTGGCTCGGCTTTCCCTTTCCCGGCGATGACCTTATCGGTAGGAAATTTGCACCCGCGAAGCCCACCAGTAGCCGATTGGAACTCGCACGAACAACAACGACGACGCGAAGGCGTCGAGCGAATTAGAAACCCGCTCATATTCAGCGGGTTTCTAAGTCACTCAAAATAGGCCCCGTAATACACGCCTTATGCTCCTGAGGGATTTATTTTGTTCCGTTCAAAATTAAACAAACAACCAAATTTAACAAATACATGTATTTGTTTTACTTTACACTTCTAATTCAGGCAACCAAACAGCCCCTTAATTGAACTCAAAACTGAATGAATCATAACTTAA